CTCTCAGAAATAAATAAAATATTTTAAAAAATTAAAAAAAAATGAGTCTCTTGTAGGCATCATATAGATGTATCTTGTTTTTGTTTTTAATGTTTATTTACTTTTGAGAGAGCATGAATGAGGGGGGAGCAGAGAGAGAGGGAAACATAGAACCCAAAGCAGGATCCAGCTCTGAGCTGTCAGAACAGAGCCCCATATGGGGCTCGAACTCATGAACCATGAGATCATGGCCTGAGCTGAAGTGCTGAAGTTGGACATTTAACTGATTGAGCCACCCAGGCTCCTTGATGGGTCTTGTGGGTTTTTTTTGTTTTGTTTTTTGTTTTGTTTTTTTATCCATTCTGACACTCTATGTCTTTTGCATTCAGTCTATTTACATTCAGAGTGATAATTGATAATGCAAATTTAGTGCCATTGTATTCCCTGTTAAACCATTGTTTCTGGAGATTTTCTCTGTTCCTTTCTAGACTTTTTCGCTTTTGGGGTTTCTTTCCCCTCTTCCCACTGAAGAGTCCCCTTCAGTATTTCTTACAGGGCTAATTTAGTGGTCATGAACTCTTTTATCTCTCCCTTATTTTTTTAATCTCTCCCTTCTATTCTGAATGACAACCTTGCTGAATACAGTTTTATTGGCTGCATATTTTTTCCATTTAACATGTTGAATATATATCATGATACTCCCTTCTGGCCTACCAAGTTTCTGTGGAGAGGTCTGCTGCTAACCTTGTCTTCTCTTGTAAGTTAGGGATTTCTCTTCCCTTGCTGCTTTTAAGATTTTTTCCTTATCTCGATATTTTGCAAACCTTGCTACAATATGTTTTGGTTGTTGGCCTGCTTTTGTTGATTTTGTTAGACATTCTCTGTGCCTCCTGGAGTTGGATGTCTTTTTCCTTTCTCAGATGAGGGAAGTTTTCAGCTGTAATTTGTTCAAATAAACCTACTGCCCTCTTTTCCCTCCCTAATTCTGGGACTCCTGATATGAATGTTATTATACTTTATTATTATTTTTTTAATGTTTTATTTATTTCTAGGAGAGAGAGAAAGACAGCGCGAGCAGGGGAGGGTCAGAGAGAGAGGGAGACACAGAATCCGAAACAGGCTCCAGGCTCTGAGCTGTCAGCACAGAGCCCAACACGGGGCTCAAACCCACGAACTGCGAGATCATGACCTAAGCGAAAGTCGGACGCTTAACTGACTAAGCCACACAGGCGCCCCTGAATGTTATTATCCTTTATGAAGTTGCTGAGTTCTCTGAGTCTATATTCATGATCCAATATTTTTCTTTCCCTCTTCTTTTCTGCTTCACTATTTTCCGTAGTTTTATCTTGTTTTTAAATATTTTTTTTTTTAGGGAGAGAGATTGAGAGAGCATGAGCCAAGGAAAGGGGCAGACGAGAGAGAGACAGAGACAGACACAGAGAGACAGAGAGAAAATCTTAAGCAGGCTGCATACTCAGTGTGGAATCCGATGTGGGGCTTGACCCCATGACCCTGGGATCATGACCTGAGCCAAAATCAAGAGTGGGACGTTCAACTGACTGAGACACCCAGGCACCTTGATCATTTTATTTTCTATATTACTTATCTATTCCCCTACTTCTTCCATCCTTGTGTTCATTACATCCAGCCAGGTTTGCATATTGCATTTTTGTTTTGGCCTAACTAGTTTTTAGGCTTTAATCTTTGCAGTAAGCAGCTTCCTGGTGTCTTCCACATTTTTCTCAAGCTCAGCTAGTATCCTTATGATTGTTGCTTTAAATTCTGAAATCAGGCATATTACTTATATCTGTTTGGATTAGATCCCTGGCCGTGACCTTTCCTTGTTCTTTCTTTTGGGATGAATTCTTCCATCTTGGCATTTTGTCTAGGTCTATGTCTTCTTCTCTGTGTTAGGAAAGCCTGTTATGTTTCCTGTTTGTGAGGCTTTATGAAGAGGAGGTCACATAGTGTCCAGGGCCTTGTGCTTCAGGGAGTTTCTCTGGTGTGTGCCGTGTGCACCCTGCTTCTGTGTCGTAGCTGCTCTATCCTTCAGACCAGTTGTCTACGGAGGCTCTCCTTGCCTACAGCGGGCAGTGTTTGGATCTTGGCCAGAGTGTGGCAAATTTTAAGTAGGTGTGCTCTGGTCTCCTTGTTAAAAGAGGCCAGATCCTATTTCCACTAGAGGTAGGGCTTTGCAGCATGCTATGGTCATTAGACATGGTGGGTGTGGGGGGGTGTTTGTGCTGTCCTTCTGGGGGAGGGGTCCACTGCTCTGGTTCTCAGGCTCATTTGCCCTAGTAAAGAAGAACTTGCAGGGTGCAGGGGGTGGGACTTGGTGTAAGCGGTTTAGGTCACCACTGTTGGCACTGTGCTATTTACTAAAGCTAGTTTATGCTGCAGGGCCAGGGAGGGAAATGGCACCAGCCCTGTCCCTCACACTGGAGAGGGGAGTTTGTGCCCACCACTGTCTGGGAAGCCCTCCCAGAAAAGCAAACAGTCTCCCCTGTATCCCAGGCGTCCCTCAGATCCTTGCCTTCACCCTGTCTGTGTCCCAGCCATCTGCTCACACAGCAGGGCAGTGCACCTGTGTTCTATCCCAGGCAAGCCCACTGAGTTTTAAAACACTAAATTTTAGGGACCCAATGTGGCACCTGAACTGGTCCTCTGGGAAAGGGTCTCGCTGGGCTGGTGCCGGTTTGTCCTAGAAAGGCAGTGGCACTGATGTGCAGGAGATTGGAGTTTACAGTAAAGCACAGCAGGAAGCTGGTGCCCAGGTTAGCCACCCTCAACAGGTGTGTCAGCCCTTATGCTAATAAATGGGGCAGTGCAATGGCACCTGCTGGCTATTTTGTACTCTGGGAGGCACCACCACCTCTCCCAGATGCACTCCCAAAAGGGACAACCGTCTCTCCCAGTATGTCCAGGGGATCCTCAGATCACTCTATCTGCTCCTGGGCCTCTGTCCTCCTTTCCCACAGGAGCACCACAGTGCCTACCAGGCTCTACACCAGCCACAGCGTGGACTTCTAAAACTCCAGTCTTTGAGCCCCACTGTTTGTAAAAATTCACCATAATCAACCTCTCTTGTTTTCCCAGTCTTTGGCTTTGGGAAAGTGTTTTCCTTTTATTTATTTATTTAGATTCAAATTATAATTTAGTTTTTATTTATTTTTATTTTTTTAAAAATAGTTTATTGTCAAGTTGGTTTCCATATAACACCCAGTGCTCATCCCCACAAGTTCCCTCCTCCATGCCCATCACCCCCCTTCTCCTCTCCCCCACCCCCATCAGCCCTCAGTCTATTCTCAGCATTCAAGAGTCTCTCATGGTTTGTCTCCCTCCCCCTCCCCCACTGTTTCCCCCCTTCTTCTCCCCCATGGTCCTNCTTTCACCCACCATTTCTCCCCTTCTTCTCCCCCATGGTCCTCTGTTAAGTTCCTCCAAATCCTCCTATACGTGCAAACATATGGTATTTGTCCTTCTCTGCCTGACTTATTTCGCTCAGCATAACACCCTCAAGTTCCATCCATGTTGCTACACATGGCCGGGTTTCCTTCTTTCTCATTGCCATGTAGTATTCCATTGTGTAGATAAACCACATCTTCTTGATCCATTCGTCTGTTTCCAGCCCCTCTGGAAAACAGTGTGGAGTTTCCTCAAAAAATGAACAATAGAACTCCCCTATGACCCAGCAATAGCACTGCTAGGAATTTACCCAAGGGATACAGGAGTGCTGATGCATAGGGGCACATGGACCCCAGTGTTCATAGCAGCACTCTCAACAATAGCCAAAACATGGAAAGGGAAAGTGTGTTCCTTGTGTAATCGCTTCTGTGCTCCTTTCCTTCTCTCTCCCTCTCCATGAGCAGGGCTCATTCCCCTCCGCAGCATGCGTGAGCCTTCTCTCCCCCAAACCATGTCTCCGCACCTCCTACCTCCACAGTGTGGCCTCTGCTCCCCACTAATTGTGCCATTTGTTCTATCCTCAGATTGATTTTTTGGGTGTTCAGAATGATTTGAAATTTTCTAGCTATGTTTGAAGGATGAGGCAAGCCTAGCTCTCCCACTAACTCTATGATTCTTGACAAAATAATTGCATTTTCTCTGCTTCATTTTTTCCCTAACTTTGGAAGATAGCGACTTCTCTTGTGCATTGGGTTATGGAAGACAAAAAATTTTGTGGAATTTGAAGTGCCTTAGGAATGTCGACTACAGTGGCACCTGCCTATAGTGTTGCCCTCTCCAAAATAGGGATAAATATGAGTCTGTCCTGGGTCCCACCCAAAGCTATTTATGATGGGAAGTTCTGGAAGGACTTTGGTAAAACACTTACCATTTACCCTGGCTTAGAGTGTGATCTTAGGGACAGTGTGACACGGCAGAGCACAAGTGATGCATGTATACTGTATAAAGGATATTTTCTGTTTCCTGTTTCTTGTTTTTATTTCCCTCTTCTAGTAAAGAAAAGATAGAACTCATAAGCCAAATATTTGCCTTTACTATTACCTTTAAACTCATCCTTCTAAATTTTGGGAATTGTTTTCAGAAGAAAAAATAAATTTAGGTCATTCTTGGTTTCTTTCTCACAGTAGAATGGACAAATGATGTGAACAATAATAGAAGCAAGAGCAGGAGCTGGGAATAGTTAACGTGAACAATTGGTCTGAAATTTTATTTTATTTTTTTAAATTTTTTATAGTTTATTTTTTTTGTTTTTGAGACAGAGAGAGACAGAGCATGAGCAGGGGAGGGGCAGAGAGAGAGGGAGACACAGAATCTGAAGCAGGCTCCAGGCTCTGAGCTAGCTGTCAGCACAGAACTCGATGCGAGGCTCAAACTCACGAACCGCGAGATCATGACCTGAGCCGAAGTCAGACGCTTAACCGACTGAGCCACCCAGGTGCCCTTGATCTGAAATTTTAAATCATTGCCTTTATTTTCTGATTAAAAGGTATAAGGCAAATAGTGGGTTCTGTACCTGAAGCTCTTGACCCTAAGGTGTTCTATTTTTCATTTCCTAGCAGCCGGTCAACTTTAAAACATGAAGGAAAAATCCAGAAAATAACCGTAAAGCATTCCTTGGAGAAGTTTCCAAGCATGAATAAAAGATAACAAGCCCCCTTCATTGAGTTCAGGTACTGTATTTGGTTCTTCACTGCATTATCTCTTTCATTTCTAATGAGAGCCCAACAAGGAAGGAGCCTTTAGTTTCCATTTTGTGAAGAGGCAGCTGTGGTCTAGATGAGGTAATCAGAAACTTATCCCAGGTTACACAGCTTCTGGAAACAGGATGGACCATTTTAAGTGATGAAATTTACTCAAGTAGTTATATATTCTTTGTAAAAAAAAAAAAATCAAAGATGTAGGAAATAAAAATTTTTAACAAACCACCAATAACCATATGTTTATATGTGTGTATATGGTTAAACACACACACACACACACACACACACACACACCTGAAAGACACATACTAAGTTGATAGTCTTGGTTAACCCTAGGGAAGGAGGTAGAGAAGATACCAGAAATGGAACTGATGATGGTCAAAAATGTTTTTAGCTTTATCTTGAGCATTCTGACTCTTTGCAAGGAGAATGTTTTCATATATTAATTGTGCAGAGTTAAATTTATTCAAAAACCCCGAGGACACATAGTATCCAGATAGTTAGTCTTCTTTGACTAACCTCATTGCCTTTTTTCTGGCAACCCTCTCTTCATCCCAGTCTCTACCCAAGAATGTTTAAAATTTTTCAAAGATCATGTGTATGTGAGTTACTTGATATAGTGACAATTATAAAATCATTTATGATGAAGTACAAGGCAGTATATTAATGGTAATTAAGGCATAGGCCCTGGATCTAGACTGCCTGGGTTTGAATCCTGGCTTCCCTATGGTAGACCTCTCTGTGCTTCAGTTTCCTCATTTATAAATTTGGGATAATAGTACCTATTTTACAGGATTGTTGTGACTCCTAAATGAGCTATTATCTGTATAGTACTTAGTGCTTAGCATATTCTAAGAGCCACATAAGAGTTACCACAATTATTTGTATTATTCTAACTCTAAGAAAAAACTATGATAAATTGTATGTATATCCAGACTTTCTTCTGTGTGTGTGTTTGCCTGTGTGTGTGTGTGTGTGTGTGTATGTACACATACATACATGTACATCCACATACATTCATGTAGGTAAATATAGGTGAATTTTTAAAATTAAAATTGGATTATACTATTTGTGTGTATCGTAGCCTTCCTTTTTACTCAACATTATAGATTGCAAACATCTTTCCATGCCATTAAATGAAGTAATGAATGTTTAAAACAAACCTCAGGTGTATTTGGTTTTATTTTTTTATTTTTTTATTTTTTTAAATAAATTTATTTATTTCTAGAGAGAGAGAGACAGCATGAACAGGGGAGGGTCAGAGAGAGAGGGAGTCACAGACTGAAACAGGCTCCAGGCTCCGAGCTGGCAGTCAGCACAGTGCCTGACGCGGGGCTCGAACCCACGAACCGCGAGGTCATGACCCAAGCGAAAGTCGGACGCTCAACCGACTAAGCCACCCAGGCGCCCCATATTTGGTTTTAACTAGTGTGATACATGGATTTTTTTTGACCAAATATGTGAACATATGGTAAGACAGAGATTTCTTGGCTCTATACGGAGAATCTGGAGTGCTTATAGATATTGAGATAGCTTAATTAAATCATTGAATGGGCATTGCTGTATCTTACCTAAGTGTATTATTATTTCTTTTATTTGGTAAGGAGTGATAGTCAGCCTTTTTAAATGTTTGTCTTCAGGGGCACCTGGGTGGCTCGGTCGGTTAAGCGTCTGACTTCAGCTCAGCTCATGATCTCATGGTTGTGGGTTCGAGCCCCGCGTTGGACTCTGTGCTGACAGCTCAGAGCCTGGAACCTGTCTTCGGATTCTGTGTCTCCCTCTCTCTCTGACCCTCCCCTGCTCATGCTGTCTCTATCTCTCAAAAATTAAAAAGAATTTTTTTTAATGAAAAATAAAAGAAAATAAATGTTTGTCTTCAGAGTCTATATGCCAGAGAGAATCGTATTATTTTTTTTAAGTTTATTTATTTATTTTGGGAGAGAGAGAAAAAGACTGCAAGCAGGGGAGGGGCAAAGAGAGAGGGGTGGGAGAGAGAGAATCTCAAACAGGCTTCATGCTGTCAGCGCAGAGCCTTGATGTGGGGCTCAATCTCACAGACCATGAGCTCACGACCTGAGCCAAAATCAAGAGTCGGATGCTTAAGTGATTGAGCCACCCAGGAGCACTAGAGGATGGTAGTTTTGAAGTGTCACCATTGGAAGGACACTTGCCATACAGTTCTTTGTAAGAAAAAAATGATGTATAAACGTACATTGATTGTTAAGAAACGTATGTATATTTCTTCTTCTGCCCCTTTCTGGCTTTTCAGGAGATGTTTCACAAAGCAGAAGAATTTTTACCCAGAACGACAAATAGCGAGGATGAGATGGACACGTCAGACACCCAGTGGGGCTGGTTTTACTTGGCGGAGTGCGGGAAGTGGCACATGTTTCAGGTACCTCCTTTCCAGAATGTAGCACACGGGCTTCCGATTCACTTAGCATCATGCTGCTGACTCACACAGTAGCAGTGCAGACCTGGAAGGAAATCAAACCTTAGGGAAATCAGATAGCTTCACTACAAGAAAAATGAGAAATTCTTTTAGTCCTTTTCCTTTTCCTGTCCCCAGGTTTTCTCAATCACGTATTTAGAAGCCGTTTGAGTTCACTGTGTGTACAGAGGGTGAATGTGACTGAGTTGCACGGTCTCAGTATGGCTGAGCAATTCCAAGTTCCATTTGGTGTACAAGGAGGAGAAGAGAGCAGGCCCTTAGTAAGCACCTTGTGTCCGCCAGGTATCATGTTAGATGTTGCAGGCATATTTTCTACGTTAGCCTCACAGCAGCTCTGAAACAGATGTTTAACACTGTCTCATGGTCAAAGACAGCCAAACTCAGAAAGGTTAACAGAATCTGTCCAGAGTCACATACGGCTCGTGAATTTCAACCAGTACCCGAAAGCTTGGTGGTCTTTTCTGACTTAGAAGCCTACCTAAAGAAGATCTAATTTGAGCCAGTTAGGAAGTTGTAATTATTGAAATCATTTGTAGGAATTGTAACGATCTGGAAAGAGGGCTTCTCACCAGTTGCTGGAGTTTCTTTGCTGGAAGTCCTTACACCGTTCTGCACACACTCACTTAGCTGCGATTCTCCGTGTGTGTGGGAACTAGAATGTGCGCTCAGTCAGTTCCCCTCGTCGCTCCAGTCTCTGTCTCTGTGACCACAGAACCGCCTCTGTGGCCAAGCCATTGATGTGAACAGCTGGTAAATGACACTCTCTGGTTTGTCTTAAAGCCGGATACCAACATTCAGTGTACAGTTAGCAGTGAAGATATCGAAAAAAGCTTCAAAACAAACCCTTGTGGCTCCATTTCTTTTACTACTTCCAAATTCAGCTACAAGATAGACTTTGCAGGTATGTTTTTACCCCTCATAGTTGTGTGTTTTTAGCATATTGATACAGTAAAACCTACAGTTGTGAAGATGAGAATTAGTTGATGTATTTGTGAACAGTGAAGTAAATCTCTTTTGTCATACACAAAAATCTCTCTTTAAAAATTCAAGATTTTAAATCTTCTTGCACAACATTACCTTTTATAAAGGAGTATTTGTATGCTTATAGATACTAACGTATGTAGAGATTGTCGTATCTTTTGAACTTATGTAACTCTTCTCCCCTAAGGAACACGAAACACTTTTTTAGCTGTTGTTTTGTTCATCATCCTATTAGCCTTTTGAAATAGCTGGGGACCTTTTCATTTTAAGGATCCATCTGAGAAGTTAGGTGACAGAGTCATAGGTAGCTGGTGATAGTTTTAAGGCCAAAGTTCACCTGAACAACCCATCTCTTAGTGTCTTTGCCAGAAAACAGTTTCTTTAATGGATGTTGCCTTTTGCCATTTTCTGATTTCATTGGCTCTTTCACAGAGCAGCTAGCTAATCTGGAAATCAGCCCTACTTTGGATTTCATCCATGATCTATAGGCATGGTTTTAAGTATCCCATAAAACGGTTGGATTCAACTCTTTTAGTTTCAAGCTGTTGGTTTTAGCTGTTTGTGGCAAAGAGGCATACAAGATCTAGAAGGGAAAGCTTTTTTTTTTTTTTTAAGGTTTTTTTTTTAAGTAACCTCTACACCCAACGTGGGGCTCCAACTTACAACTCCAAGGTCAAGAGTCACATGCTCTACTGACTGAGCCAGCATGGTGCTCCGGGAAGGCTTTCTTAACAAAGCATATTTTGGCTGCTACATGGCTCAGTCATCTAGCTGTTCCCTCCCAGTTTCTATGAGTTGTGTCTTTATGACAGGGTTGTGGTGTGGTGTGGTAAGGTGGTGACACCTTAGGAAATTACCTTGGATGAGCTAAGGCCCAGAAATGGTGAATGGGATTTGTCCAGTAAGAGGTTGATGCAACCAAATCTCTAATGATTATTGTCCCCCCAGAGTTTTTTTTTTTAATTCTCAAGAGTTCAAACCATTATATTCTTCCTCGCAACTAACCATAACTGCTTTTTTATGACATTAGCTAAATAGGCTGCCTTTAAGGGGCCCTGACATTTATCTTTTTGTTGCAGTCTAGACAGAAGGTATCCCTTAGATCTTTCAGACATCTTGTGCACAAGTGCCAATTTGAAGCAATACTAAGACATAGTGATATGCACACACATCAGGCTTCGTGTAGAGGATGAAATTAATCAACACATTTAACTCAGCAAGCCACATGTTTCTGAAAGAATATTTGCTAATTAAAACTATATTTTGGGGAGAGCTTTCTCTCAGACCATGCAGTTTGTTAAAATATCTTTATCAAAGAATAGGAGTCACATTTAATAATTTAATTTCACCAGCCCCTCTATATGATGATGCTGCATCAAAGGTATAGGCATCAGCATTTCGAATGTACTATTTGCAAAATTAGCTCCAGCTGCTCTGCCATAAGCTGACTAAGGTGCTCTTGGTAAAAATGGTGAAGAGGAAACTCAGAATGAGGTGGTAGAAGACACTGCAGGCTTTGCTCCTTGTGCTGACATGATCTTGCTTTTTCCTGCATAGCGGTGATGCCGGTGTGTGTGCGGAACCTTAGAGAATCCAGAAAGGGCAGGGCATACTTTATATTTTATAGCATTTGCCTGGATGGGCAAAGCTCTTTATTTTGGAATGGAATGATGCCAATTAGATAAGATATACTGACTGGCATCTCAAAGTAAGCCTTTGTACTAAACTTTGTGGGAACGAAGACATGGATCTGGTAACATTGGCACAGCTGAGGCACAGAAGGGAGAAGAAAATGACACCTCCAGTTAGTTATCAGTCTCATCTCACTAGAACCTTTTGAAAAAAGCACGTATTTAGCCTAGTTAGGTTTTCTGTCGTTGGTTTTGGTATATGATTCCGAGAAGACCAAAAATGTACCAATTTTTGAAATTCTGTCAGTTCTTTCGGTTTTATAGTGGTAATTATCTTTTAATCATTCCCAAAAATTTTGGAGCAATCAAAGTACACTTCCCATTTCATAAACCAACCAGAAGGTTCAGTACTATAATTTTATTCTCTTTCTAGTACTCTTCATTTTCCTAAGTTGGGAACTCTTATACCATAGCATCAGCTTAAGCTAAGTGTGCTCCAGAAAGGTGTGGACCCTGCATACTGAGCGGTCTGAGCCTAGCATCCTGTGTGTGAGCTTAGACCTCACGATGAAGCCGTGCTCCCTGAATAGCACTCCTATGTTGTGATAAATACATGGGTGGTAAAGTGTCCTTGATACACTGTGCTCGTCAGCGCCTCCCCAAGTGCCATGGTTCCGGATCACCACGTGCTGTGGCTACACATCTTTGTGACTATGTATAGCACAGTCTGTTCCCACCGCTTATCTAATATCTTTGTCTTTGCCTACAGAAATGAAGCAAATGAATCTCATCACCGGAAAACAGCGCTTAATAAAAAGAGCCCCCTTTTCTATCAGTGCTTTCAGGTATTGTAAAGAGAATAGGGGTGGAAAGAGTGGGCTTTCCTCCTCTTTTTTAGTATTTGATAGAGGAACAAATAGACTGAAAATGTTTGGGTAGGTTATTTAATGACCTTGATGTTGATCTTTTCATGACTGGATTTTGCGTTAGTTGATGAAATACAGTATGATGATTGTCTGCCCTTGTTGCCTTTCCTGTTCTCCTCTTCATTTCCTCTTCTATGTACACATTTTTCATTTCTTTAAGATGGTTACAGAACGCCATATGGTCTCTGCTATAAATCCTTAAAATAGCTTGCTGAAGTAGGTTTGAATTAACTTGCAAATACTCTGACAGAGCCATCCAGTGATATGGGCTAGTTATAGCTTCTAGGCAGTTGCCCCCTTTTTCTCTCCCTCCACTTATCCCCACTGGGCAGCTCCCAGGAATGATTCCAAATCTGTAATGACCACAGGAGACCTAAAGAAGGTGCGAGCTCAGTGGGATGGCAGCATAGCCCTCTACTTCTGGGTCTGGGTCGCACATTGTCCTGTTTGCTTTCTCTGGTGGTACACAGCTCTAAAAGAGAGCTGTAGATGCCAGAAGAAAGTAAGTGTTTATTATTCCTGTGAATGAAATTGAAGGGGGAAATCTTTGAGAGTATACCTCCTGCTTTTTGTCATGATCCCTCAAGCAAATATTGCTGTTCAAAGAACATAAAATGAAACAGAAAAGAAAAAAAATAGGAGCATGTGAATTGGAGATACCCCTTTGCTCTTTCTAATGAGATATTTTGAAACAAGGGGTCAAGAAGGAAAGAAATGCTTTAAGTTTCTATCAGTTTGTTTCTTAAGGCTTTTGGCTCATATTTTTGCATCCTGATTTAAAAGTTATTCAAGTACTTCTATAACAAATGCCCTAGACTAGGACTTCTATGGAATGTGGAGGATATTATTTTCTTACCACCACATCATATCTTTATTCTTTGGCACAAGGAATGTAATAAAGGAATTGCTTAGTGTCCAAGGATATTTAATCTAGGAGAAAAATGGGACATAATAATGGAAAATGTTGTTGTAATTGTACCTTATTATTTCTGGTATACTTTGGTGGGGAGAAGCCACAATACTATGGGGCTGAACACTTTTCTGTCACAGACAATACAAACCAGAACAAAGACAGGAGAGGGAGAGAATTAACCAGAATGGAGGACAATAAGCAAGGTAATAGCAGAGGAGAACAGTTAGGCAGTGTTAGAGTGATGCAGGTAAGTGGGTGCTGATACAGAAATGTTTAATTATTCATGGCAGGAATATATCAAGTGTGTATTACACACAAGGTGAATAGCTCACATTTCCTACCGGCCAGGAAATTACAATTATTTAAGGCTATGCTCTACATAAAAATTTTTTTAAAAAGTCAAAAAATAAAAACCTTTCCCATAGCTAAAATTTACTCCAGGCAAAGTAAAAAAAACAAAAACAAAAAAAGCAACAACTGGGAGAAGTATCATTGCTTATTATTGTAAAGGGCTCATCTCTGTAATATATGAAGTACTCCTAGAAATTTCTGAATAGAAGACCAGCAACTCATTAGAAACATCTGGCCTCACACAGAATCAGAGAAACACAAATTACACCAGACAGTTTTTTATTAGCAGATTGTCATAAATTCAGTTTGATAATGTACCTTTTTGGAGAGGTGGGGAAGTAGGGATTCTCTACCTTTCTGGTGGTAATGATGTTAATGAGCATAACCTTCAGAGAGGGCATTTGGGCAGTATCTGTCAGAATCCTAGTATCTGTCAGAATCCTAAAATTTCCATTTCACAGATGTCCTCTTACAGGTACACTAGTAGACAGATAAAATGGCAGAAGGTCAACTTGTGGTTTTGCAGCATTCTTAACAGTAGCAAAAAGTCAGAGACACACTAAATACCATCAACAAGGGGCTTGTTACACAAATTATGGTATGTCCATACCATGGAATTCTCTGCATCTGCAAAATAGATTGCACTCATTCATTCAACCAGTAGGTATTGTGTGTTTACCATGGGCCAGGTTCTGTGGTAGGGACTGGGAATGAGGTTACTCTCCATCTACTGATGCAGAAAGATCTTTAAGAACATATTAAGTTGGGGGAGAAAATGGCTGCAAAACAGTCCCATAAGTTTTATGCTGCCATTTGTATGTGGGGGAATTTGGCTTGTGTGAACCTAAAAAAGTCAGGAAGAATACCCCAAAGACTAAAGAACAAAAACAAAGCTGATTACTTGGAGTTAGGGCAAAGGTTGAAAATTGGACACTTTTCACTGTTTGCTTCTTTATAGGTGTGAATTTTCAAATCATCTGATTGTAGGATCTTTTCAAAAATTAAAATGAGCCTTAGAAATTAAGCTAAAGATAGGCTTGAAATTTATGACTTTTTTCTAGTAACCTTCAGTCCCCAGGGAGGACTAGTATGTCCTTTTTAGCCTTTTGCCATTAAGCCCTCCAACTTACTCTTTTTCTGTGCTCCCATCCAGTGGCTTCAGTGTGGTGGGCAGGTTTTCAAAGCTTCGCTGGCTTAACTGCGTGAATCAACGCAGGCTGTGTATGAGGAAGAGAGGGCAGTAAGCAGAGAATGGCTTAGGTTTGACTTAGAGCTTGAAAGACATTGCATGCATGGCTGAGAGGTTTGGGTTTTATTTGATAGGCAGTATCAATCTTTTAGAGGGTTTTGTTTTGTTTTTAAATAGAGAGTTTCATTTCTTCTTGGAAATTCCTTTCCTTTATCTAAAATCCTCCTTACATTTTAAAGGAATTCTGACAATTAAAAACAACAACAACAACAACAAAATGACAGCATTAAACAACTGTTTTTGAAATTTTGATGTTATTTAAGATTGGATGTTTTCCACCCAAGTTGTCAATTCTGCACCTAAAAAAGTAGTACCCAGGAGACATGGAGTAAATATTAGAAAGTGAAGAACCTAGAGCTTCATTTCATTGCTTTTGTCACAATGTCCCAAATGTGAAAATTCAGCTTTGGAGAAAAGGTGAAACTAAAGCACTGACAATAATTATTATCAACTTCTAATATTTTGTCTTGTCTTTTGCTGTGTAAAGTTATATCTGTGAAAACGAGGCTATCCCCATGCCCCCACACTGGGAGAATGTGAACAGTGACGTGCCCTATCAGGTAAGAGCAGAGCTGATGAACCCCACTGCAGAAGAGTGGAAAGGGCCCCAGTAAAACTATGCAAACTTCTTTTTCCAGCTTATTCCTTTGCACAATCAAACACATGAGTATAATGAAGTTGCTAGTCTCTTTGGGAAAACAATGGATCGCCACAGAATTAAAAGAATTCAGAGAATTCAAAATCTGGACTTGTGGGAGTTCTTCTGCAGGTGAGACAGTGTCCAATCTGAACCCTCTCTTTGGCCTCTAAGACCTTCGTAGTCTTAGAGATAGCGAAGCTCAGATGTCTAACCGGACTGCCCCTCAGGTGTCGCTCCAACTGTGGAGTTGTGCTGTGTTTTTCTCTTGGCGGTATCTCGACCCTGTCTGTCAGCGCTCCTCAGCACTCTCGGGGAGTGACACAGAGCTGCCCTGGAGGTGAAGGTCAAGTTCACTTCCAGCCCTGTGAGCCCACCTCGGAGGGCAAAGACCCTCTCTGCTTTGCAGGTGCAGAGCTGTGCATCCTGGCTGAAATCTGCATTAGAAGGGAATGTAGGGAGCTCGTTAGTTTTGTTGACATTACTTTGGTGATGCAGACCTGTATGTGGAATTGGAAGTCACTGGAAACATTGTTGAACTCATTTATTTATTTTTTACTTATTTATTTTTATTTTTTAGAGAGAGGGAGGGCGCGTGTGCCAATGAGAGAGGGGCTGAGGGCAGCGGAGAGACAATCCCAAGCAGGTTCCACACCCAGCCTACAGCCTGACTCGGGGCTTGATCCCACCATCATTAGATGATGACCTGAGCCCAAATCAAAATTTAGTTGCTTAACCGCCTGAGCCACCCAGGCACCCCAACATTGTTGAATTTTTTAAAAAAGCAATCACACTATCTTGCCTCTAGTCATTTGATTATTTTGTTTTGAAGGACATTGTTGACTATACTTTCAAATGTCCTGCTAGGTCTAAAGTTTAGGTAGTAGATTTAAAATCTCAGTTGACTACTTAATTTAGGGTGTAAATGAGCCATTGGATTGCTCAGTATACACTTAAGCTAAAAATAAAGCCCATTACTGAAAAATAAGGGCTTTCAGCTTGTATTCTTTATAGTCTTGAGTCTTTGGACCAAGCCAACTTTATTTCTGACAGTAATGAATTTAACTGAGTGTAGAAGGTTTTATTATGTCTTGTTGAGATGAAATTTCTTTTGTTGAGGAAGATAGAGGCCTCTCTCCCCTTTATTTTTATTCTCTCAGTGAATATAGTAAGTTTTTCTTAAATGGTCTGATGAAAACTTAATTCACTATTCATAATCAAGCCTCTGAAATGGAGTTCAGTTATAACTGAACTCATAATTTGAGTTGTCTCCACTCAATCTTAGTGGTAAAAATGTACCAGTGAATCCCCATGTTTAAACATTGTATATACTAAGAATTTCACTGGAAATAGTATCTCTCTGCCTATGCCTCTCATGATTTTATGGAATGTGAGCCTATAAAAATCTGTGAAGGTGAATGAAACTGTCACCTGCTGTGACATTAGAAAATACTGGGTCTCATTGTAAGGACAATCTGTTATTTTGACATCTCCATTAAGAACTAAAATCCTAGTCAATCTCATTGTCATGTAACCTATGACTGATTGTGCAGGCAGTGAGGCCCACACAAGTCCATCAGGCATCCATTTCCATGTCGCCCAGTCCTTTTTCCTTTTCTTTTCTTTTTTTTTTAATTTTCCTCCTTTCTTCTAACAAATATGTCAGAGCACTTACTTTATGACGTGCACTTTCTGAGGCACACGTGGGACATAGCAGTGTACAGGACCATAACTTAGACAAGGAGCCAGGCAATTGCACCATAAAATGAAAATGAAAATGAAGATGAGTAGTTAGAGAAGAAGGTAGAAAGGTAGTCAGGAGGTTGAGCATGGACGAGTTTGTAGTAGAGCCATTGGAATGGTTGTGTGATTTTCTTCAGTAGTGAAGAGCTTAGCATAGTTTGAGTCCTACAATATTCCCTGAAGGTTTAGCTGCAGCCCAAGAGGTCCTAGGGCTCAATATGAGCCTTTCCTGAACCCTAAGGTCATAGTATGTGAGGCTGCACATTTCATGGGTGCCTTATTAGTTGGCACTAGAATAAATTATGCTGTGGGAATGCAAAGCTTTGCCCACCCCCTCCCACTCTGCCTTCAACTGGTCTATATGCCACGTCCAATCCGGTGACTGAGCAGATTTTCAATGCCCACACTAAGAGAGACTCAAGTAAATTTTCAAATCAGAAATTATTTTGATGTTTGTCAGAGAAATAGTAATGAGTGATTATCCTGATTTTGGAGTGGATTCTAGGCATTACTGATGGTGAAGCTTGACCTTAGGAAGATGTACACTAAACAAATATTTACTTGGGGAAAAAGAGTACAAATTCACTAGTGCTCAGCAAACTAAGAGGACTGTCATAGTGGTAGATGGCTGAGCCCCTTAGACAGTGTAACTTGATTTCTGCAAAATGGTTGACAGAAGTTCTTATGCTGGAGGCAAGATAGAGAAATGTATTCCAGTGGTAGTTCGAAGAGAAAAACTAATACCCAATTAAAAGTCTTGGGCAGAGAGTAACTTGAGTGGCATGCATGCTTTCTTCTTGAGACCTTCAACATTTCAGTCGATAATTTGGATAGAAATGTAAAAGGCTTGCGAAAGCTTTAAAACTAGAAAGGGTAGCTTATTGTGTAAATGAATTGCAAGTAGAAAGACCTTGGAAAATTGAAGCAGTCAAAACAAATTATCTTTTTAAAAAAAAAAAAAAGATTTTTTTCCTTGCTTAGAACAGCAACAAATGTGCATCATTAAAAAAGGGGAAAAAAGGCAGTACCTAAAGGTCTAAAAAAGAAAGTCAGCAAATCTGTTCATAGCAAAAACATGCTGGATTTTTCTGAAGTGAGTATTTGTTTCATGCATATCCTTCTAACATCATGCTTCATGATCTGAAACACCATCACCAGTAGATCAAAGCATATACACTGAAAATTTTTTTTAGATTTTATTTATTTATTTTGAGAGAGACAGAGACAGCAAGAGGGGGAGGGGCAGAGAGAGAGGGAAAGAGAGCGTAGAGCCTGATGCAAGGCTTGAACTCATGAAACCACGAGATCATGACCTGAGCTGAAATCAAGAGTCAGACACTTAACTGACTGAGCCACCCAGATGCCCTTGAAGTTTTGATACTATATTGCCAAATGACTCTTGAGAAAGACCATTTCCATTTCTCTCATTTTCAAAAGTTTATTTAATGTGAGAGAGAGAGAGAGATGGAGAGAGAACGAGTGGGGGAAGGGCAGAGAGACTCCCAAGCAGTCTCTGCGCCATGTGAGTCTCCAACTCACTGTGAGATCACGACCTCAGCCGAAATCAAAAGTTGGACGCTCAGCCAACTGAGCCATCAGGCGCCCCACCATTCCTGTCATTTAAATGCAAGTATCTTTCCCCCACGTAGTCACTAAGCTGCATGTTGTTTATCAATTATGTATTTTTTAAAATTACTATATCAAGATTAAGTTTAATCAAAATGAATCTACTACATTAGGTTTATAAATGAGTTGTACAAATATAGCAAGCCAAAAAGAGATCCGGTTTGAGAAAGTCTTGGGGTTTCTGAGTACAGAATTATGGTTTTATTGTTGTTTTTTTAAAAAAAAATTTAATGTTTTATTTATTTCTGAGAGAGAGACAGCATGAGCAGGGGAGGGTCGGAGAAAGGGGGAGACACAGAATCTGAAGCAGGCTCCAGGCTCTGAGCTGTCAGCACAGAACCCGACGCGGGGCTCGAACCAACAAACCGTGAGATCATGACCTGAGCTGAAGTCGGACGCTTAACCGACTGAGCTACTCAGGCGCCCCCAGAATTGTTTTGAGTGACTACAAATTCATGCCACTGCTCCAAAATGAATGCAGTGGTGTGGCAGTAGAGCCAGTGCTGGCTGATGGTATCTGGAGTCTTTTTCTATTTCTTACCAACATTTATAAATTAGAAGGTATCCAATAGATTCTTGTCAACTAAAGGCTGTCCAGGATAGAACAAGGTGTGGAAGCCATACTCTGAGAATGGGAATGGATGGAATGGATCTTTAACCTTGAGTAGAAAGCCTAAGTCAGTGGTTATGTTGTGGATAATCGCAGAGTTGTGCGTAAGAGTGACTGGAATTGTTCTGTGCTTGGGAGAGAATTATTGGAACCAATCAGTGAACATTAACAAGAAGGCAGATTCTGGTTCAGTGTTGGGGGCACGTACTTCCTAACCATTCTAGCTGATCACAGAGAGTTGTGCTGTCTTGCAAAGCGTGTACCGGAATGAATTGAGGCAGATGTTAATTAGCTATTTATCAGAGATATAATGAGTGGAGGGAATTTTTTTAATGAAATATTTAAAAAATGGAAATGCTACAGTTAGTTCATGGACACCCTTGTACCTGCCAGTGAGATTTTAACATTTTGATACCTGTTACATCTTTTAATATTTTCTTCATCTTTGTATATGTGTTTTTTCATTTTTTAATGTATTTTAAAAATTTATTTGTATTAATGAAGTTTAGTTGACACACAGTGTTGTATTAGTTTCAGGTGTCCAACATAGTGATTCAACAATTCTACACATGACTCGCTCAATGCGCATATGCCCCATCGGTCACCATAGTGTTATCACAGGATTATTGACTATACTCCCTGTGCTGTGCATTTGATCTCCCTGACTTTTTAGTTCTATATTTATTTGTTCTTATTTGTTTATTTTTATTTGAGTATAGTTGATATATAGTGTTACAATAGTTTCAGGTGTACAGCATGGCGATTCAACGTCTCTATGCCTAATGCTCTGCCCACCACAAGTGTAGCTATCATCTGTTGCCACTTGAGGCTGTTACAATATCATTGGCCATATTCACTATCCTGTGTCTTTTATTCCCGTGACTTATTCATTCCATGACTGGAAGCCTGTATCGCCGTCTCCTGTTCACCCATTTTACCCAGCCCCCACTAACCTCCTGCCCTCTGGCAAGCATCAGTTTGTTCTCTGTATTTATAGGTCTGATTGTGCTTTTTGTTTGTTTATTTCTTTGTTTTTCTTAGATTCCACACATGAGTGAGATCATATTTGTCTTTCTCAGTCTGACTTATTTCACTTAGCATAATACCCTCTAGGTCCATCCATGTTGTTGCAAATGGCAAGATCTGATTCTTTTTCATGGCTATTTAATATTACACTGTGTGTGTGTGTGTGTGTGTGTGTATACACCACATCTTCTTTATCCATTTGTCTATCAATGGACACTTGGGCTGCTTCCATATCTTAGTTATTGTAAATAATGGTGCAACAAATATAGGAGTGTCATATTTGGGCTTTTTTAAAGATACGAAGCATTACAGATACAGTGATGGATAAACACCCATCCCCATCCTGTTCTGCTTTCCTCCTGAGGCTGGTGTTCTGCCTTCTCGTCTATGTTTTTATATTTTTTACTACCTATATGTGTTTGTATACAACATACAGTATTGAGTCGTATATCTCTTTCTGCAGCATTCTTTTTATGTTCAACATTATTTTTCAACAAGAGTTGCCTCTGTTAGTACATGTAGATCTGGTTTGTTTTAATTTGAATGTATGTATATATAATTATTCATTTTTCTATGAAAGAGCTTTAGGCTGTTTTTAGTTTGTTTTTTTACTGTTACAGTCAGTCTTTCATTGCATATCTTTTTATGTGTTGGAAGAGATTTGTCCACTGGGAAGTGTGTTGAACTGGATTGGTTAATATTCCTTCCAGCCCTATGATTCAAAATTCAGTTCAATCCAACCAGCATTTTCTAGTCTCTGGAGATAAAAAGATTAAGGCATGGTCCCTCCTCAAGGGATGCAATGTGTAAAGACTCTCTGAAGTTTATATTATTTAGTTGTTTATTGTGTCATTTTTAGGCATCTGTAAAGCGTGGCTGGCTTAGGCATTCTGTTAGCTTGACTATGATGGGGCATCATCTGGGATATCTATAGTTTTGGTATAATTTTCAACCTTAAGTCTCAGTTTTAACTAATAATTTTTGGTAAGATGATTATGTGTCCAAGGGCATTCAGGATTATTTCTTTTCCAGAGCTGCTTTGTCCACCTTTGATTTATGTTAAAGAAGTGTTTTCTGTTTTGCCCTTTTTCATTGAACTTGGCTCTTCTGAAAACTAATAAATGCCACTTATGGTCTCTCTGTGTGTCTTATGCCTATGTGTATTGTGTTCTTAGGAAAAAGGCTCAGCTCAAGAAAAAACGAGGCGTGCCTCAGATTAATGAACAGATGCTCTTCCATGGGACCAGCAGTGAATTTGTGGAAGCCATTTGCATTCATAACTTCGATTGGAGAATAAATGGTATACATGGTGCTGTCTTTGGGAAAGGTAATTATCAGAATTCCAAGCCCAGTTTGAGTCCTAGGAATGAATCTCGTCCCTTTAGAGATAACTGATTGTTTTATAATTCAGGAGTTTGATAGTCATTAAGTTAGAAGATAAACTGTACTAGGTTCCTGGCACACCCTCAAAGTTTCTGAGCCACAGAAAAGCCACTTCCTGCATGTACAAGGTGGAAGTAAGACTTTGACACTTCTACCGGGTTAAGTAGCTCCCCAGTCCCAGTCATTCAGATGGGACAGCATGTCTGTATTGGCTGATTTTTGCATTACATTTAATTTCCATGTATAAATCCTATACAGGTATGCCTGCATACCAAACTGTTTTATGTCAGATTTATAAAGAACTATAAAATAAATTGACCACATTGTGCCCAGGTTTAGGTACTAGTATTTTTTTGTTCATTTTGTTTTTTAGAAAATGATAGGTAAGGATATTAACGAGCAATAAGGAGTAATGGGGGAATTCCTCACCTTTTTTTCTAATGTCATCAATTTATACTTACTACTCAAGCAAATTAAGGTGAGAGATGAGGAGAAAAGGTAGGGGTAAATGTTTATTTTTCTGGTCCTTACTTTGTACCTTATCTCCAGTTAGAGAGCTGGCTACCACTTAGGATCAAGATATGCTACATTTTTAAAGAATAAATTAATTTTTAAAGTAACTACTGAAAAGGGCATCCCATTGATCTCACTGTAAGAGGATTAGAAAAATGTTACCTTGAATCCTCAGCACTGGGTAATCTGAGACTTTGTGATTCGTTTCCCAAATATTTTAGAGTAAATATTCCCTTCATGATGTCAGTCTCCTAGGCCTACTGTTTCAGAAGATTTGATGCTTCATTGACTTTTTAGGCAATGAACCTGTGTGAAATTGTACTTCCAGAGTGTCTAGATGTGAATAGTGTTGCACTCTTCAGAGATCTTTTTGTGGTTGTGGGGTGGTTATTATCTTCAGAAATATTGATTTGTTACTCTGTATCCTAGAAATGTAGTTTCTTGGATTTTGAAATAATCTCCATAGACCAGTAGTTCCCACTGTGCTCTTCAGAGCTCTCTGGATGCTGGGTAAGGGCAGCGGGCTGAGGAAAGCAGTGGAGGGAAATAGAAATGGAAGGGAGATTCAGGCAAAGAAAACTCAGGTCTTGCCTTACTTTTAGTCACAGAAACGGTCTGTATCTGTCTTACATACTGGATCTCTCTAGAAGCTTTCTTTTGAAAATAGAAATCAGATAGCTAAGTTTTGGTGGAAGTGGGAGAATGATCTGTGTAACATAGCTATTTGTGGGGCCGTCCACAGTACGTGGCTTTCTATTCTTTCCTTAAAGATCCACAGATGAGGACATCGCACATCTCCTTTTGTTACACGATTTGTGTGTCTGTTCCCCTAACAATTAGAGTGTTTTGCTTGTGTTTCCTAGATCCTTCATAGTAATCTTGGCTTCTTCTGGTCCTTTTTGTTTAAGGAACCTATTTTGCTAGAGATGCTGCCTACTCCAGTCGCTTCTGCAAAGATGACATAAAGCACGGAAACACATTCCAAATTCATGGCGTCAGCCTGCAACAGCGGCATCTGTTCAGAACGTATAAATCTATGTTTCTTGCTCGAGTGCTAATTGGGGATTACATAAATGGAGACTCCAAATACATGCGACCTCCTTCCAAAGATGGGAGCTATGTGAATTTATACGACAGCTGTGTGGATGATACCTGGAACCCAAAGATCTTTGTGGTGTTTGACGCCAACCAGATATATCCTGAGTACTTAATAGACTTCTGTTGATTTCACTTCACAATCTCAGTGGGCGAGGACTTTCTAGTCTGTTTATGCAGGAAGATTTGCTCTCTTGTCTAGCCACTAAATGTTCACTATCTGATACTTTTGAAACAGATACGGAAAAAAGTGGCATCCGTATAAAAAGACACACTGACTTAAAGGTTGGTTTTCTGTTGTTCTGTTTTTGTTCGTTGCTCGTAGTTTTGTCTGTTAAAGACTGATAACCGTTGCCATTTTAACACAGAGGTGAAGATAGCACCCAAAACTGAATCAGCTGGATCTCAATTAACATGATCATTCAGAGTCTGTAAAGTTTATGTGTGTGTTCTATTTATTCATATATATGTTCAAAAAAATAAAAAAAAAAAAAGACATAACTGTGTCCCTTCAGAGGAATTGATCCTTTGTAAATTGAATTCTGAGAGTATTATCCACCAGTCAATATGTTGCCTTTGTTGGTCTTCTGAAGTGGGAATTTTAATTTTTTTTAATGTGTATTTATTCTTTGAGAGAGAGGCAGACAGAGCATAAGCAGGGGAGGGGCAGATAGAGGGAGACCCAGAATCTGAAGCAGGCTGCAGGCTCTGGGCTGTCAGCACAGAGCCCTACACAGGGCTTAAATTCATGAACCACAAGATCATGACCTGAGCTGAAGTCATACGTTTAACTGACTGAGCCACCCAGGCGCCCCATGAAGTAGGAATTTTAAACCCTGAAGCAGTCTGAGTACCTTGGGAGAAATCAGAAATAAAAATGTTATTTACGGTGCTTCCAGACCAGCCAAAGGGAGAAAGTCAAGGTAGAGTGTCCTGCCTCTGATTATGTCTGGAGAGCAGGCTGCAGTCTCAGACCACTCAGGTCATTCTCTTGTCCCCTACATTGACATTGACAAATGTTACAGAGGGCAGTTAGCCCACAGTTCATCCACCAATGCTCTTGAATTCTCAAGACTTGCTGCACACTGTTTATTGCACCTTCAAAGTGAAACCCCTTTGTTTTGGGGTCACTGCAATAATTGATTATAAGATTTCTTAGCTGCTCCCTACCACACACAGCTATTCAGCGATGATTCATAATATTCATATTTTAAAGTTGTGTCTCCCCATCTTGAGTCCTTGCACAAGGCATGGGGTACTTGGAACAAATCTGGTGGAGTCTTTTGAGTAGCAAAATGACAATCTGCGAACTCTTGAACAGTTAGCTACAGTTCATAATCATGCCTAATGCAAGTTTGTGTATCTGTTTCATCTGTTTTGCTATTATTCTATTCTGAAGAAGAATAGGTAATGTTGGAACAGCTTCCTACCCCTATAGATACTCTGGTAGAGACTAGACAACCCCTTGGCAGAAATGTCATATGAGAGTTCAGGTATCAGAGGGGAGAATTGGCCATATAATTGCTGATTGTCCATGGTTCTACCTGAAGAAAAAAACACTTATATCAAGCCTAGCCAGAAAATGGTTTCCTGACTCAGTCAAATAGTGAATTCTCTCTCTCCATTACCTCATTCAGTTTTGACCTAGAGGTTGTGAACATAATTTAACTTCTCAGGAAAAAGCCAGTAAATGTCCATGCCTGTGTGGCTCGTTTCAATCATTTGAATTGGGAAGGCATCTAGAAGTAATAAAAATAAAGAGAATGGAGCAAGATTAGACCTGGTAATTCTTCAACTGCCGTAAACCCTAGATTTTTATTGTAGCCCAAAGTACATGTAACTGTGCAATTGAAAGTAGGTAGTACACAGGAAACCGTTATGTACAGCACTCTGACACCACGCAGGAACAAAGATTTCCTGACCCAGCTGCACACACTAGAGCCACCTCCATGAAATGCTGCAGATATTTAGGAAGAGCCCATTTTAGAAACACGCAGAGGTTATCATGGAAATAATTGGAGGAAAATCCCTAGGCAACGTTGTGATAGGCTCTAGACTCTATCAACAAAAAACAACTAGAGATAATCAGGATTTTGATCTTGAAAATCTTTTTGTTCTAGGTATTTGTTATTCACACACACAAAATGCTACAGTATCGCCCACTTCAAGATGGATGTCTTCTTTTCAATTTAACACGATTGCCCTTCCCATCACTCGAAAGGAACAAGTGTTGTAGCATTTGGGTGTTCTTCTTGTAGATGTGCAGATCTTATCTCGAGGTGTGACTGAGAGCCCTGGCTTGAGGTCTGCAAGGCAGTCTCTCTGAACTCTGAACTTCCCTTGCTGGCTCACATGTTGCAAGTAGAGTGCACCACAGTAGACTTCTCAAGGAAGAATTCTTCTCTTCTTGTCTGACTATGTAGTTCAACTCTCCTTTTATAAGAACTGATTTTGATCATTTTTTTCAGTGTGATAGTGTAGCATTAATTGATGTTAAAATTCTGTTTGTTTTGGTCAATAGATTGGGTTGAGAAATCGTCATTAGTGTGAAAAACAGACAGGACACAGCCAGCTGCCACCTTTTCCTCTTGCTCTCACGTAGTGTGTGTGGGGAGAGTAAAGAGAACCTGTTCCAGATTCGTGAATAAATGATTTTTTAAATTCTATGTTGAATAAATTCCAGCTGATAGTGACTTTTCTTTTTCACTTTGGTGACATGAGTCTCAGGGTAAAAAAAAAATGTGTTCATGAGAAACAGTGTCATAAATCTTGCAGTTATGAATAAGCAGTTTTTTTTTATTATTAGTGCAACTTTCGTTTCTAGACTGTTACGGTGATGATAAAGCATTTGGAGCCATTTTTGTTATGTGAATATGTTGTTTTTACATGTGGTGATTAAAGCTTTCCGTAGCAGGTTCGGTTGTCTATGTATGCCATATATTTGTTTCTGTGATTTCTGTGTCTCATCTCCACTTTGCATTGTTTAAGTCTACATTAGTAGCTCAAACTTGATGGGCCCTCAGGAAGTTTGTTATCACTAACTCTTATGTAACCCACTTACCGATGGGGGAAGTCTCTTGTTCTTGGTTTAAGTCATTGTTAGTAATAGCTAATCAAATAATCTGGGAAAATAATTTACTCTACTATTGGGAATTCCAAAAGCGATCAGGGCCAAGTGCCTACAGTCAGAGCCTTTTACTCTCAGTGTGCTCCCCTGCCTCAGAACAGCCATTCTGGAGGGTGTGTCTATATTCACCTGAGGCCCATGTCTCCTGTAGCTCATCTAGCCTCCAGCCACTCCTGGTATGCCCACAGTAAGTTTTGAAACAAGGTGGACATTTCATCTAATCTTCAAGCTTTTTTTGGCAAAAAAAAAAAAGAAAGAAAGAAAAAGAAAGGAAGGAAGGAAGAAAAGACAGAAAAAAGAAAAGAAAAAGGAGCGGGAGCTGTCCAAAGCTGTCTTAATTTTAAAGGTGAGAGAAATGAGAGACGGAATGATCAGGGCTACCTGTGCAAACAAAGCAGGTTTCCTGTTCGCTACAATCATGTCACAGTCTGTGCAAATGTTGGCCTGTTGTTAAGGCTCAGTGTGATAAATATGCAACTTTGATGATGTAAAAATGTGACATCTTGCCAAGTTTTGTTCCTAGGCCATCTGGGATTTGAGGTCCCCTCCCAGGTCACCAGGAGCAGCACTGGGAACAGTCTGTCAACGGCCCTGGTTGCATTGTGGCCTCACGTCCATTCTCCTTGGGGAAGGATATTCTGTTTGCTTTTAAATAAACTTTGTATTTTGTTTAAAACCCAGGGAGAATCTATTTCTAGATGAAATTACACATTCTGTACTTATAAAGAGGAAAAATAAAAGGGAATGGAAAATAGCCAGGAAAGGAAAAGCAGACAAAGCCTTGTCCAATATTAGTTTTCATTAGAAACTTGAGCAAAAGGGTTTTACTTATTTTTACCCCGTTGCACTGTATGCAGGAAGAGGTTTGGTGAAATGAGCCCGACCTGCCTCATTTCCTAAGAATAATTTTATGACGTCACTTGAGGTGACACTGGTGGAAGCAATGAACATTTCCAAGAACCACGAAGTGCACCAATAATTGGGGGCTGCCTGGGTTTTGTGAGTCATATGTAAGGAGAAGTGAGTCCTACATATCCAGGAAGATATTCTGATCAGGAAGATATCCATTCAGCTTTACATTTTTTGCAGAGCGGTTCCCTTCTCACATTCCAGAGACCGCAGGCTGGAAGGTGGTGGAGAGCTTATGCAGTCTCTCTCTTTCCTCTGCCTCTGCCCGCTTCCCATGCTGTGCCTGACCCATCCCAGGTAAAAAGGTATCTTGGTTATCCAAACGCTGAGACAGTAAATTCCCTGCTGTTACTGATTTAAGTCTCCTGCTATCAAATTACGTAATCCATTTTCTCAGCTCTAATTGCTTGCCTTTCATTCTTCAGCACTGCAGGCTGAGAACTTGGCTTTTATTTGAACTTTCTCACTGTATGGTGGTGTAGCTAGGAATTTAACATTGGTCTTACTCATTTTTAAGTGGCTTCTCATGAGGTGAAAACACAGGGTAATGCCAGGGACATTTGTGTTTCCTGCAGTTTTTTAGCCTTGCTGTATCCTCTACCAAGAGGTTATACAGGAAACTGATTCTGACAGACTCGGTTTATGCTGACTTCACTGTGGCAAGCCAGCTTGGGAGAATCACAATCCAGGATTTCATTCAGGTCAGTTTTGCAATATTAATTATAAATCTAGATTGTACTTCTTGTGTTTCCTTGTTCCTTTAAAAAAAAAAAAACACCTTTTCCTGTAGGGCTCATTATGCTTTAATGTCTCCTGGATAACAGGTGGAAGCCACAGGCATTGTAGGTTCACGTTTGATTAACATTCTTAGAGGATCAGTGTTCAAGCCCAGCTCCTCCTCCTTATTCCTTTAAGAAGGAGATCAAGCACCATCTTGGGAATTGCTGATCGGAGTTTTATTTCTAGCTTTGATGTTTCACTTAGCTTGACCTTGGATAAATCAGCAGAGGGGAAGTTTCACTTTTCAGAAGGTGAAGTTTAGAAGGACTCTTGTTAAAAGTAAAAGGCCTGACAGAGCATGGCTAGATTTCTCTTGGCAGCATCTGACCTGCCGGCGGATGGTGTTTGAGTTTGGGTCAAGAAAGTCCAGCAGCAGGGGTGGTGATGCATTACGAAGCGAGAGTATGGAGTAGGAAGGGAAGCTTCTTCCTGAACCTCTACTGCTATTCAGCCCCCCTTTCTCTTTCA